CATTCCCCTCCTTCTGCACCGAACTCTCCCGCGGCTTCCCGTTTTTCCTCTGTCCACCACTCATCTCTCTCCCCCACTCTCTTCTCGCAACCAGCCCTTCTGTCTCTCACTTGTACCTCGCCCACAGCTCTTCTTCACTCCCCCTCTCTTCTCCCCTCCTCCTTCTCCCCAGCTTCTCCCCCTCCTTCGTTCCTCTCACCAGCTTCTCCCTTCCTCCTTCTCCCACCCACAGGTCTCGGCCCCTCCTCCTTCTCACCACTTCTCCCCCTCTCTCCTGCTCACATCAGCTTTCTCCCTTTTCTCTCCTCCTCCTATCTCCACCACTATTCCCCCCTCTCCTTCTCTCACCCAAGCTTTCTCCCTCTCACCCAGCTTTCTGCTCGCACCTCTCCTTCTCCACCATCTCTCCCTTCTCGCCCCTCCTCCTTATCTCCCCCTCCGCTCTTCTCTACCAGCTTCTCTCCTTCTCCACCAGCTCTCGCCACCCTTCCTTCTCCACCAGCTTCGTACCCTTCTCCCCCTCCTCCTGCCACCAAGCTCGCAGTTCTGCCTCCCTCCTTTCTCGCCCTGTCCTCCTATCCACAGCTTTCCCTCCTTCTCTTCCACCAGCTCTCGCCCTTTGCCCCCCCCGCCTTTTTGCCCCCCCCGGCCCCCACCCACTCCTTGTCCTTCTCCCCTTCCCCCGCCACCAGCTTCTCACCTCCTCACTCAGCCTCCCTCTCGTCCTTCCTCCTTCGTCACCAACTTCTCCCCCCCTCTCTCTCCACGCAGCTTCTCCCCCTCCTCTCACCACACTGTCTCTCTTTCCTTCCTCTTCTCCCCTCTCTCTTCCCCCCTTCTCTCTTCTCCACCGTACATATTATATCTACTTCTAAACTCTCCTCCGCCCCTTGTCCTTTCCTGCTCCTGTCGCTAGCCCATTGTACCAGAAACTTCAGAGTATCTTCAAGCCGGATTGGTCGATTCACGACACGTTTAATTATTAAGAACAATTCCCTATGGTCGAAGTTTAACGACACGTTGTAATATCATGTAAGAACATGCCCTATTGTCGATTTAACGACAACGTTGTAATTCATATAAGACGCGTCGGTTCGAATTACAACACGTCGTTAATCATCTTCTCGACAGGCCCGGGGCCCCCGTAACCCTAGAGGCAAGTCTCGAATTACAACACGTCCTTAAATCCTCTATGCATCGACACCGGCGGTCGTCCAATGTCCGAAATTACAACGTGTCCGGAAAGAAATTAAAGCGAAGTGTTGTAAATTCAATTCGACGTGTCGAAAGTAATTAACGCAAGTGTGTAATCTGTAATTGCGACGATGTCGAAAGAATGTAAGAGTGTTGGTAATTCGAATTGACGACCGATGTCGAAAAGAATTAAAGGACTGTTGTAATTAAATAGCGACACGTACGCAATTCGAATTACCGACAGTGTCCGGGGTGGTTGCGTTTATGAAGGTCCTGCTTCCAGACGTATCCCGCACTCAGCGCTCTGGCTTGAGCAGTGGCTTCAAGACTTTTTTCTTCAACGAACTCGTCATCGATTACCCCCAAAGTCTCATACGTGCGTGCCCCGAAACCCGAGTTTTAGGCCGCAGTCTTCGCTCTCGTCGACGCTCGCTGTCATTCGCCGCGCCGCTCGCACGGCGTAACGCCTGATTACTCAGGGCATTCGAACAAATGCTAAAATTATAGAGCATGAAAAAATCCCTAATTAACTAAGGCTAACTAAATCTAATGATCACTCGTAGCATTGACGCGCAGCGGCGCTACATCACACCTCCTTGAAAAAAAATTTGATCGCCCCGATCAGAGAACAATTAGGTTGAGTGCGAGTGCGTTACACAGGCGCTTTATTTGCGGTATCGTCCAAGAAAATGTAATTATTGACTACCGCGCAGATGTAGTACGTAATTTTCAGTGCTCTAGTCTACGTTATAATGATGTCGCGTATGCCGTTGCGCATAAGCGTCGCGCTTACAATTAGTATATACATTCAATTACCGGATACAAACTGACTCTACAAGCTAAACTACGCGCAGTTGCGCGCGCACGTACACACACAGCACGCCCGCACGCACACATATTGTGGTTCGAAGCGGTGGCGTGTTAGATGTTAATTGCGGCCTGTTGGTCGTCTCTCGGCGCCGTCCCTTGGGACGCGTCACTCGGCGGCTCGTAGGTTGCACGAATTAGTGGCGCATTCGTGCCTATGCCGCCAGCGCAGAGTGGGGTAGATCAGGGTGGGGGTGGGGGTCGGAGGCCGGCTAGCGTTACTCCCCCTCGAGTCGCTGCTCACGGAGGCATGTCGCGCGTGAAGGTCGCGCGACGTCAACATCTCGCTCTCCGTCGACATCAGCCGTACTCTGCAGGCGACTCGCGTAGCGATCGTCCCGTGGCTCGCCGAAAACGTGCTCGTCTCAAGCGTCGTCGTCATCCAGCCGCTCGACGACGTAGGGGACGTGGGGGCCGCCGTGTAAAATACGAAAGTGCGAGACGGTACTCTCTTCACCCATATGAAGGGGAACCCGAGGCCCCAGCATTTTCTAAACTTCGAACCAATCTAGGAGCGGCGTTAGATGGCCGAATTGCAACTCCGCATTTTGAAAAAACAGGCCCGCGGGCATCTGGTAGCCAACAATCAGGCTGTCCAAAAGGGGGGCCAAAATCTGATAGTGGTCGTCTACTCCCGCCGCCATCCACCATTCAGCGTCATCCGGCGTCCCTCCCGGTGGAGGCATAGGGATGCTCCCACGCAAGAGGGCCACACAGTTGGAGACGGAGGGAGGGTGCGGGATGCAGACACACCTGTACCGGTCTGCCACCATGCATGCGATGATGCCGTATTTTCCTGCAATTAGGGCTCGCATTACTGCCATGTATTCGGGAAGGTTAAATTGGATCGCTTCATTGGCGATTGTCCTAGCCAGTTGTACTGAGTAGGAAACCGCTCTCTCGTGTGTGCCGAGCGCACCTATTCGCGTGGTCACGACTGCTGAGTTTACAACAATGAATACATCAATCAACGAGGAATAATAACATATGTCGTAGGTTATGAAACATACATACATACATTGTCTGGTAGACTGTGAAACAACTTATATCGGCAAAAATGATTGCGTACCTCGCAAGTTTGAGCTTTGTCATAACCTGATATGCAATCTTGTGTATACAATAGGCACGACGGATCAGTAAGGATATGTGAGGGTGGGTGGGTGTTTTGGGCTCTAGGGGTACATTCCCAGCGAACATTACACTGTAATGTGGATGGCAACTTATCTAACGTGGGTTTCAATCCGCGTGTGACAATAAGATGACCATACAGTTGTCTCCAAAGGTTAAACAACAATGGCTCACTAGTGCATTTCGCTCATTAGCTGCTACCCGTTTTTGGCAGGCTCTGTTTGCCTCGTATAAATGCCATCATTTAGAAATAGGGTTCACGTCTGTGTTATCCTCCATGTCACGCGTATACAGTGACAGTAAAACAGAACGATTACCCCTCTCAGGTGAATCTCTAAGTTCCGCTAACGGGCGTAAATCTTCCGCATATGCGCATATGCGTTATTCCGTGACATTAAAGTCAGTTTAAATTTAGAATCGCCTACCGTGAGATTAAATGTGTGTTATATTTAGCGGAAAAATACAATTTGAATTTAGAATCCCCTACCGTGAGAGTAAATGTGTGTTATTTAGCGGAACAATACAATTTGAATTTAGAATCCTCTACCGTAAGAGTAAATGTGTGTTGTTTAGCGGAACAATACAATTTGAATTTAGAATCCCCTACCGTGAGAGTAAATGTG